TAACCTCCATGTTTTTGGAGGTTTTCCAGACTTCTTCCTGTGATTGATTTCAAGTTTCAAAGCATTATTATCTGACAGTGTGCATGGTATGATCTCAGTTCTTTTATATTTATTGAGGGCTGCTTTATGTCCCAGTATGTGATCTATCTTGGAGAATGTGCCATGTGCACTTGAGAATAAGGTAAATTCTCTGGCCTCAGGATGTAAAGTTCTAAATATACCTGTCAGATCCATCTGGTCCAATGTGTCTTTCAAGTCCATTATTTTTTAGTGATTTTCTGTCTGGTTGACCACTCCATTGCTGTAAAGGGGTATTAAAGTCCCCTGCTATTAGCACATTCTTATCTATAAGCTTGATTTGTTTGTGATTGTTTTAGATATTTAGGTCCTTCTATATTAGGTGCATAGACATTTATGATAGTTAGTTCTTCCTGATGGATGGACCCTGTAATTATTATGTAGTGCCCTTCTTCATCTCTTGTTATTGTCTTTAATTTAAGGTCCAGTTTGTCTGATATAGGTATAGCTACTCCAGCTTTCTTCTGATATCCTGTAGCATGATATAATTTCTCCATCCCCTTACTTTTAATCTGTACGTATCTTCCAGTCTAAAATGAGTTTCTTGTAGACAGCATATAGATGGATTTTGTGTTTTTATCCATTCTGCTATCCTATGTCTTTTGATTGGAGCATTCAGCCCATTTACATTCAGTGTTATTATTGAAATATGTGGGTTTAGAGTCTTTGTATCTTTTGTAGGGTTCATGTTTGTGGTGGTGTCTCTGGTATCTTTGTTTCCTGCAACATTTCCTTCAGAGCGTCCCCCTCAGGATTTCTCGTAGGGCTGGCTTCGTGGTGACAAATTCTTTCAATTTCTGTTTATTTGGAAAGGTTTTTATCTCTCCTTCTATTTTGAATGACAGGCCTTCTGGATAGAGGATTCTTGGCTGCATATTGTTTCTGTTCATCACATTGAAGATCTCCTGCCATTCTTTTTGGCCTTCCAGGTTTCAGTACATAGGTCTGTCACCATTCTGATAGGTTTCCCTTTGTATGTTAGGGCCCTTTCCTCCCTAGCTGCTTTCAAAATTCTCTCTTTGTCCTTGTATTTTGCCATTTTCACTATAATATGTCGTAAAGAAGATCGATTCAAGTTACGTCTGATGAGAGTCCTCTGAGCCTCTTGTATTTCAACGTTTACTTCTTTTCCCAGGTCGGGGAAGCTTTCTGCTATAATTTGTTCCAGGACTCCTTCAGCACCTTTCCCTCTCTCTTCCTCATCTGGGATTCCTGTGATATGGATATTGTTGCATTTGACCGTGTCACTGAACTCTCGAATTCTTTCCTGTTCCTGATCAGTTTGTCTCTTTTTTTGTCAGCTTCTTGTTTTTCTCTAATGGTGTCTTCTAAATCACTTATTCTCCTTTCTGCCTCTTCAATCCGTGCATTGTAGGCCTTTAATTTATTATGTATCTCATTTATCGCATTTTTTAATTCATCATGCCTATTTTTATTTTCCATTCTGTCTGTAGCCATAGTTTCTTTGATGTCCCCTATACTTTTTTCAAGCCTAGCTATTAATTTTATGCTTATTATTCTAAAATCTTGTTCAGTGATGCTGCTGATATCTGTTTTGAGCAGTTCATTAGCTGTCATTTCTTCTTGGAGTTTCTTTGGAGGAGACTCTTTCGTTTCATCATTTTAGTTAGCTTTCTGGCTCTTTTTAGTTTTAAGGACCTGTTATGCTCTCTGCACCTATGAGAGCTGCTGTATCCAAGAAGACTCTTTGACTGTCCAGGGCCTATCTTTTCAGAGAGTGTTTTTTGAATGGTATCTCTTGGTCTCTCTCTTTTTTTTTTTTTAATGTTTTTTATTTATTTGTAGGAGAGAGAGAGAGAGAGAGAGAGACAGCGTGAGCAGGGGAGGGTCAGAGAGAGAGGGAGTCACAGACTGAAACAGGCTCCAGGCTCTGAGCTGGCAGTCAGCACAGAGCCCGACGCGGGGCTCGACCCCACGAACCGGAGATCATGACCTAAGCGAAAGTCGGACGCTTAACCGACTAAGCCACCCAGGCGCCCCTCTCTTGGTCTCTCTTGTTGGGACCCTGGTTATTTTATTTTCCTATTCGTAATGATATTTGGGACTCTTCACTTTGTGTACTCCAGCTTGTTTCTTGAGGTAGCCCTGGAAAAGAGAACAGACAGACAAACACACAGGGAGCAGGAGCACACAAATGCAGAGACTAATTCAACTGACATGCAGACCGAGAGGAAAAACGAAAAAATTAAGATAAAAGACAGAGGAGGGAGGGCGAATAATAGGGAGCATAAAATACATAAAAGGGTCAAAAAGGAGAAAAGGAAAAAAGAAGAAAATTGATGGACAAAGAATGGCTTAAAGCATATAACCGGATTTCCCAGCTACAGTTAAATAGCCGGGTGTATCCACAGTGCTGGTTGAAGAGCATAGAGAAAGAGAGAGAAGACAGGGCGGGGATTAGGCACAATTGGAAATAGAATGAACAGGCAGAACGGATAAGAAGCTTTTTTCAAAGAGCTCTAGGGTAGAATATGGTTGAATAGGTGAGAGAAGGACGCTGGTATTATCCAGAGAAACTGTATAGTCTAATTACTCCTGAGAGAAAGAGATGAAAATGTCGGTAGACGTAGAAGTTACATCTACAGACTGGACTAGTTGTGATTGTTTAAGCAGGCTGATGACCAGAGTTAATCAGGTCAGTGTTCGGGGGGGAATAAAAGAAAGAAAAGAGGAAAAAAAAGGGGGAGGGGGTAGGAGGGCAGCTCTCAAGCAGGGATGGGCGTATTGTGATGCAATGCCTCAGGCGGGAGTTTTGCCTTGGCGGTTGTGGGGAGGAGAGTGGCGGTGCTCCAGTCCCTTCTTGAACCAAGTCTGCACCTTGCTTTTTTTTGACATGTAAACTCCCCGTACCGGGGGCGCAGCCAAAGTTGGTTGCGCTCTTCAACCCAGGCTAGTCCCAGTCTCCAAATCCCAGTCCGTGAGCTCCGTTGAAATTGCCTTAGACACAACTTCCCAAGCAATCCCCTCAGGGCAATTCCAGGCCTCCTGCCTGGCTCTGGGTGTGGAGTCAGAATTGCTGCTTCCTTCTCTGGGTCGGGCTGGGGAGCATGGTTGGGGGCTTGCCTGCTGGGTGCGCCGAGCCCGCTGGAGTGAGAAAAACCAGGTTTATGTCTCGTCACCTGAAACACGAACTCGCAGGCAAATCTCCCAGTTTTTAGCTCTTTGCCTTCTCTCTAGAGCTCCAGCCAGCCAGGAGCGCGGACACCTGGTATCCGCTCGCTGCTCTTCCAGGGGCCCAAGCCTGCCGGGAGGACAATGGCAGCAGGCGTGCCGCTACTCTAGAAGTTCAGCCAGCCAGGAGCAAGCACAAAGAGGCAGTTCGTGAGCTCAGCCCCTCCGGGACCAGTTGGCGCGAGAGGACCTGATGTGCAGGTATTTGGCGCGGAGGTCTTTCTATGCCCCGAGCGGAGGTTTTTCCCCCCCGAGCAGAGGTTTTTCTGTTTCAGACTCTCTCTTTTTCCCCTCTCACTCCCCGCAGAGGGGGATCGCCCTGACCCTGGAGTCTCTGATCCTGGCCCGATTTTATCTTCCCCCATTCGCACTCACGTTAGACGGCTTTCTCAGTGGGTTCTGCATCCTTTTTCTCCCAATCTCTCAGGTTTCGTAAGGTTTCCGATGGCTTCAGATCTTTTCTGTGTGAGGTATGGGCGCGAGTGCAAGTAAGGAGCCTCTTACTTCTCCGCCATCTTGCCCCTCCCTAACATCAGCATTCTTCACAGAGCTCGAACAAACAGTCCTAAAATTTGCATGGAACCAGAAAGACCGCGAATAGCCAAAGCAATCCAAAGCCAAAACAGTTTTCTTTAGAAAAAGAAAACCAAAGCTGGAGGCATCACAATCCTGAACTTCAAGCAGAATTACAAAGCTTTAATCATCAAAACAGTATGGCAATGGCACAACAACTGACACTCAGATCAATGGAACAGGATAGAGAATCCAGAAATGAATCCACAAACATATGGCCAACTCATCTTTGACAAAGCAAGAAAGAACATCCAATGGAATAAAGACCGTCTCTTCAGCAAGTAGTGCTGGGGAAACTGGACAGCAACATGCAGAAAAATAAACATGGATCACTTTCTTATACCATACACATAAACTCAAAATGGATGAAAGGCCTAACTGTAAGGCAGGAAGCCATCAAATCCTTGAGGAGAAAGCAGGGAAAAACCTCTTTGACATCGGCTGCAGAAACTTCTTACTCAACACATCTCTGGAGGCAAGGGAAACAAAAGCAAAGATTGGGACTTCATCAAAATAAAATCTTATGCACAGAGAAGGAAACAATCAGCGAAACGAAAAGATATTTGCAAATGGCATATCAGATAAAGAGTTAGTATCTAAAATCTATAAAGAACTTATCAAACTCAACACCCAAGAAAACAAATAATCTGGTGAAGAAATGGGCAAAAGACATGAATAGACACTTCTTCAAAGAAGTCGTCCAGATGGCCAACTGACACATGAAAAGATGCTCAACACCACTCATCATCAGGGAAATACAAATCAAAACCAAAATGAGATATTACTTCACACCTGTTAGAATGGCTAACATTAACAATCAGGCAACAACAGATGTTGGTGAGGATGTGGAGAAAAAGGATCTCTTTTGCACTGCTGGTGGGAATGCAAACTGGTGCAGCCACTCTGCAAAACAGTATGGAGGCTCCCCTAAAAATTAAAAATAGAACTACCCTACAACCCAGCCCTACTAGGTATTTACCCAAGGGATAGAGGTGTGCTGTCTCAAAGGGGTACATTCATCCCAGTGTTTATAGCAGCACTATCAACAATAGCCAAAATATTGAAAGAGCCCTAGTGTCCGTAGATGGGTGAATGGATAGAGAAGATGTGGTATAAATATATACATACATACATACATACATACACCCATCCTGCCGAGTGACAGGTGGGATGAAGGTGAAGGCTGACCGGGATGAGTCCTCTCCCTATGCTGCCATGTTGGCTGCCCAGGATGTAGCCCAGAGGTGCAAGGAGTTGGGCATCACTGCTCTCTACATCGAACTCTGGGCCACAGGAAGAAATAGAACCAAAACCCCTGGACCTGGCGCCCAGCCATCCCTGAGAGCCCTTGCCTGCTCAGGAATGAAGATTGAGCAGATTGAGGATGTCACTCCCATCCCCTCCAATAGCACCCGCAGGAAGGGGGGTCGCCGTGGTCGCCATCTGTGAACAGGATTCTTCAAATTATTGTTTCCTGTTAATAAATTGCCTTTGTGTAAGCCAAAAAAAAAATGGAGTATTACTTGGCAATCAAAAAGAAAGAAATATCACCATTTGGAACTACATAGATGGAACTAGAGAGTATTATGCTAAGTGAAATTAGTCAGCCAGAGAAAGACAAATATCCTATGACATCACTCATATGAAGAATTTAGGATACAAAACAGATGAACATAACGGAAAGGAATAAAAACTAATATAAAAACAGGGAGGGGGACAAAACATAAGAGACTCTTAAAAATAGAAAACAAACAGAAGGTTTCTGGAGGGGTTGTTGGAGGAAGGATGGACTAAATGGGTAAAGGGCATTAAGGAATCTACTCCTGAAATCATTGTTGCACTAAATGCTATGTAACTTAGATGTAAATTTAAAAAATAAATAAATTACAAAACATGAAAAGACAGAAATTAGCCAAGATGACAAGAGGGAGGAATTCTCCCCAAAAGAAAGATCAAGAAAAAAATCACAGCTTGCTCAAAATAGATATAATCAATATTTATACAAGAATTTAGAACAGCAGTCATTAAACTATTAGATGGGTTTGAAAAAAGCATAGAAGACACAAGAAAAACACTGCTGCAAAGATCAAAGACCTAAAAACTAGTAGGCTGAAATTAAACATTCTGTAACTGAGATACAAAACTGACTGGATATAGTCATAACGAGAATTGAAGAAGCAAAGGAGAAAATAGGTGATATAAAACAAAAAGTTATGCAAAATAATTAAGATGAAAATAAGAGGGAAAGAAAACTATTAGATCATGAAGGGAGACTTAGGGAACTTAGTGAATCCATAAAACAAAACAATATCCTATCATAGAAGAAGAGTGGGGAAAAGGGGCAGGTCTATTTGAACAAATTACAGTTGAGAATTTCCCTAATCTGGGGGAAGAAAACAGGTATTTCACCCCAAAAGGCACAGAGAGCTTTCCTCAAAATGAACAAAAAACGGGTCAACACCATGACATATCATAGTGAAACTTGCAAAATACAAAGATAAAGAGGGCATTTTGAAAGCAGCCAGGGACAAAATGTTCTTAACATACAAGACTGGATATTTAGGTTAACACCAAATCTGTCACTGAAATTCGTCAGGCCATAAGGGAGTGGCAGGAAAATTTCAACATGTTGAATGGGAAAAATATGCAGCCAAGAATTTTTGTCCATCAAGGCTGTCATTCAGACTAGAAGGAGAGGGGTGCCTGGGTGGCTCAGTCAGTTAAGCGTCCAACTTCAGCTCAGGTCATGATCTTCCAGTTCGTGGGTTCAAGCCCCACGTTGGCTCTGTGCTGACAGCTAGGTCAGAGCCTGGAGCCTGTTTCAGATTCTGTGTCTCCCTCTCTCTCTGAACCTCTTTATGCTGTCTCAGAAAAAAAAAAACCTAAAAAAAAAAGAATAGAAGGAGAGATAAACAGTTTCCAAGATAAACAAAAACTAAAGGAATTTGCAACCACTAAACCAGCCCTGCAGGAAATTTTGAGAGAGACTCTTTGAGTGGAGAAAAAAACCCAACGTAACAAAAACTAAAAAGGACCAGAAAATATCACTATAAACACCAACTAAATTCATATATTTCAAATAATTACTCTAAATATAAATGGACTAAATGCTCCAATCAAAAGACATTGGATATCAGAATGGATAAAACAACAACAACACAAGTTCCATCTATATGATACCTTAGACCTAAAGACACAGATTGAAAGAGAAGAGATGGAGAACCATCTATCATGCTTATGGGCATCAAAAGAAAGCCAGAGTAGTCATACTTATATCAGACAAACTAGACTTTAAAACAAAGACAGTAACAAGAGATGAAGAAGGACATTATATCATAATTAAGGGGTGTATCCTCCAAGAATATCTACTAATCATAAACATTTATGCTCCCAACTTAGAACTCCCAAATATATAAATCACTTAATTATAAACATAGAGAAACTCATTGAAATGAATGTAATAGTAGGAGACTTTAATACCCCACTTACAGCAATGGGCAGATCATCTGAGCAGAAAATCAACAGAAAACAATCATTTTTAATGACACACTGGACCAGATGGGCTTAACATATATTCGGAACATTTCATCTTAATGCAGCAGTATACACGTTCTTCTCAAATGCATGTGGAACATTCTCCAGAAGAGATCACATACTAGGTCACAGATCAGCCCTCAATAAATACAAAATGATCGACCTTTTACCATGCATATTTTCGTATCACAACACAATGAAACGAAGTCAAGCACAAGGAAAAATTTGGAAATCTCTCAAGTATATGAAGAATGAAGAACATACTACTAAAGAATGAATGGGTCAATCAGGAAATTTTAAAAATACATGGAAGCAAATGAAAATGAAAACACATCAGTCCTAATGCTTTGGGATGTAGCAAAGGCAGTCCTAAGGAAAAAGTACATTGCAATTCAGTCCTATCTCAAGAAGCAAGAAAGGTCCCAAATGCACAGTCTAACATTACACCTACAGTAGCTAGAAATCCTAACCCCAGCAAAGCCAAACCCCAGTAGAACAAATCAACAAAATTAAGAGCTGGTTCTTTGAAAGAATAAACAAAATTGATAAACTGCTAGCCAGACTTATCAAAAAGAGAAAGGACACAATAAAATAAAATCACAAATGAAAGAGGAGATACACAGCCAACACCACAGAAATACAAACAATTATAAGAGAATACTATCAAATATTATGGGGCGCCTGGGTGGCTCATTCGGTTAAGTGTCCGACTTTGGCTCAGGTCATGATCTTGCAGTTCGTGGGTTTGAGCCCTGCATCGGGCTCTGAGCTGATAGCTAGTTCAAAGCCTGGAGCCTGTTTCAGATTCTGTATCTCCCTCTCTCTCTGACCCTCCCTGCTCATGCTCTTCTCTCTCTCGCTCTCTCGCTCTCAGAAATAAATAAAACATAAAAAAATTCAAAAATTATAGCCAACCAACTGGGCAATCCAGAAGAAATAGACAAATTCCTAGAAACTTACAAACTACCAAAATGGAAACAAGAAGAAATAGAAAATTTGAACAGACCCATAATCACCGAAGAAACTTAATCAGTTATCAAAAGTCTCCCAACAAGCAAGATACCTGGGACAGATGGCTTTCCAGGGAAATTCTACCAGAATTTGAAGAAGAGTTAATACATATTCTTCTCAACTGTTCCCAAAAAATAGAAACGGAAGAAAAGCTTCCAATTTTATTCTATGAACCCACCATTACCTCAAATCCAAAACCAGACAAAGAGCCCACCAAAAAAGGAGAATTACAGGCCAAAATCCCTGATAAGCATGGTTGCAAAATTGTCAAGGATATACTAGCAAATTGAATTCAATAGTACATTGAAAGAATTATTCACAATGATCAAGTGGGATTTAATTTTGAGCTGCAGGGCTGGTTCAATATTCACAAATCTACATGATACATCATATTAACAAAAGAAAGGGTAAGAATCACACAATGTTACCAATAGATTCAGGAAAAGAATTTGACAAAATACATCATCCATTCTTGATAAACACCCTCAACAAAATAGGGTTAGATGAAATATACCTCAATCATAATAGCCAGACATAAAAGACCCACAGCTAATACTATCCTCAATGGGGAAAAACTGAGAGCCTTTCCCTTATGGTCAGGAACAAGACAAGGATGCCCACTCTCACCATTACTATTTAACATAGGACTGGAAGTCTTAGCCTCAGCAAACAGAAAAAAAAGGGGGGTATACAATTGAGCAGGGAAGAACTCAGACTTTCACTATTTGCAGATGACATGATACATTATGTAGAAAACCCAAAAGACTCCACTAAAAAAATTCACTAGAACTACTACATGACTTCAGCAAAGTCATGGTATATAAAATCAACATGCAGAAATCTGTTGCATTTCTATACATCAATAATGGAACAGCATAAAAAGAAATCAAGAAACCAATCTCATTTATAATTGCAGCGAAAACAATAAGATACCTAGGAATAAACCTAACCAATGAGGTAAAAGATCTGTACTCTGAAAATTTTAGAATACTTGTGAAATAAATTAAAGATGACACAGAAAAATGAAACATTTCCATGCTCATGGATTGGAAGAACAAACATTGTTCAAATGTCTATACTACCCAAAGCAATCTACACGTACAATCCAATCCTTTTCAAAATACCACCAGCATTCTTTTCATATCCATATCAAACAATCCTAAAATTTGTATGGAACCACAAAACTCTCTGAATAGCCAAAGCAATCCTGAAAAAAAAAAAAAACCGAAGGTATCACGATTCTGGATTTCAAGCTATATCACAAAGCTATAGTCATCAAGACGGTATGGTAATGGCACAAAAACAGACACATAGGTCAATGAGATTGAATAGAAAACCCATATATTGACCCAGAAAAATATGGTCAATTTATCATCAACAAAGGAGGAAAGAATATCCAATGGAAAAATGATAGTCTCTTCAACAAATAGTGTTGAGAAAACTGGACTGCAACATGCAGAAGAATGAACCTGGACCACTTTTTTACACCATGCACAAAAATATATTCAAGATGGATGAAAGACCTAAATGTGAGACAGAAAATTGTTCAGGAGAAAACAGGCAGCAAATCTTTGACCTCAGCTGGAGCAGCTTCTTATTAGACATATCACTGAGGGCAAAGAAAATGAAAGCAAACATGAACTACTGGGACTTCATCAAGATTAAAAGCTTCTGTACAGTGAAGGAAACAATCAATGAAACTAGAAGGCAGCTTACAGAGTGGGAGAAGATATTTGCAAATGACATATCAGATAAAGGGTTAGTATCCAAAATCTATAAAGTACTTAACAAACAACAGTTAAGAAATGAGCAGAAGACATGAACATTTTTCCAAAGAAGACATCCAGATGGCCAACAGATATCTTACAAGATGCGCATCATCACTTATCATCAGGGAAATGCAAATCAAAACCATGAGATATGTGAAATATCACCTCACACCTGTCACAATGACTAAAATCAACAAC